GTTTTATGACATTGGTTAACAACCCCACAACATGTCAACCCTCTAACTTCTCAACCGTTGTTTTTGGTGAAAATACACATAGCCAAAGATACACCATTTCAAAAATTTCTACATGCTTGTTTAATCTTTTATATCTCAAAAGAGATTGGCTCAAGATTCATCCTACACTAATCCTGCCTTGTTAGCATACCAAAGACAACCCATTCTCAAATGGGATTATAATCACAGGCATAGAGGTTAGGATTTACAACACATATTTTTGGGGGACACAATTCAATCCATAATGTTTGCTAAGGTGGGCAAGACATCAATTCCTTGTCTAAAGCTTACAGACACATTTTTTAAGAAGAGGCTTATGGTAGTGTCTTAGTCATCTAGTGCTGCTATAACAGAAATACCACAAGTGGATGGCTTTAACAAAGAAAAATTTATTTCTTCACAGTAAAGGAGGCTAAAAGTGCAAATTCAGGGCGTTGGCTCCAGGGGAAGGCTTTCTCTCTCTGTCGACCTTGTCATCAGTCTTCCCCCAGAGTAGGAGCTTCTCTGCGTAGGGACCCCAGGTCCAAAGGATGTGCTCTGCTCCTGGCACTGCTTTCTTGGTGGTATGAGGTCCCCCTGTCTCTCTGCTTGCTTCTGCCTTTTATATCTCAAGAGATTGCCTCAAGACACAATCCAGTCTTGTAGATTGAGTCCTGCTTCACTAACACAACTGCCGCTCATCCTCCCTCATTAACATCATAGAGGCAGGATTTACAACATATAGGAGAATCACACAATATCTGGAAACATGGCCCAGCCAAACTGATACACACGTTTTTTGGGAGGACATAGTTCACTAATTTTTTGGGAGGACATAATTCAATCTATGACAGGTAGTAACAGAAAAAATTTCTTGACTAGTGAGATGGAGGAGCACATATGGTAGAGACAATTTCCTGCTTTGGGCAGCCATCTTAAGTGCTCTTGTTGGCATCCATGCCAAAGGTAGCCTATTTTTGGTAGAGAAATGTCTTTTTCATGGCAATTGACAAGCAAATGAGCTCTGACCCAGCAGTAGCTGTAAATTAATGACATGTTATATTCTCTGTATAGCTCTCCCAGGGGGTTGACTCACACAGCTGAGTTGAAACTTCTACCCAGTTGCATGTTGCATTTTGGCCAGTAGGGTATTACTTGCTAAGTTATTTCTACAGTGTTTTTAGGTGTGTGCTAGTGGCCAGATGGAGTTAATGCATCTGCCAAAGTTTCTAACCTTAAAGGAATTGTGGTAGAGGTAGAGGAATTGTTGGGTTCTGATTCAAAGTAAAAATAACATTCTTGCCAAGTGGGAGAAAGACAAATAAACTGGGATAAAATGTTTTTTGTACTCTTCAAAGAGGAAGTGAAAAAACAATGGAACTGCAGATAAAACGTGCACACACAATCTTAGAGAAAGAAAATTGAACAGGTCAGGATTTTGATCATGTTTTATTTTTAGCAAATCTTTGGAAAGTGCTGAGAAGACTCATTGTGTGTATTTGTAGGGTTCTCTTGAGGATATGGCTTGGAGGTTGGCAGATGGTGTTATACAGTGTTCTTTCAGAAGAAACATTAGCCTTCCTGGTTTTAAGAATAGATTTGATCTAAACACAAGCTACTACATATTTATAGCAGATGGTGCAGCTGATGATGGTAAGTATATTGGTAAAAACTATCTTTTCAAATTTCTATTCTCTCCCCCTTCCTTCTTCCCTTCATTTCTTCTTTTGAGAGATCTACTGTAATTGCTTATTTTTAAGAAACACACTTGTGGGTAAAGAGTTATTAAGACACTTTTCCACTTTACTTGAAAATTTGACTTTTGGTTAACTTTTTAGCTGTATTTCCCCAGGAACTAGGTAAGGTAAAGTGTCAGCTATGTTATAAGGCAACATTGCTTATAATAATTATGACCCCTGTTGTAGGGGAAAAACATCACAAAGTTTAGTAAAGCAAAAAGAAAGTTTTATTTGGCATATATTCAAAAAGGCAAAAGTGGGAAACAGACAACCATGCTGCCAGAGCCATGTCTGTCCAAGTCCAAAGAATATTACAGAATAGGCAAGAAGGGGAAAACGGGCAAGCGTGGTGCCACAGCCATGTCTGCCCGAGTCCAAGGAAGGTTACAGAATCATCAGCATATGTTAACATCACAAAATGGGTAGAGTCCTTGAAAGCTTCACCTTTTCACAGATTGGCTAGAAATTGTGATCTTACATTTTGAATTGCCTTTGTCAGCATCATTGGTACAGGTTTCAGTAACCTGACAATCAGGAGGGTCTTCACTGGTCCAACAAACCTCCATTCACTAAATGCCAATAGAAAGACAAGACTGGAAAGTCTTGTGTTCTGTTTGATTGGCTTTGTGTGAAAGGTCCTCTAAAAGATACTTTTCTTCCCTAAAAGATAATTTCTAAGATTGTCCCATCTATTATCTTTATCTCAGGGCCCAGTTGATGTGTCGTTGTGAGTCCTTATGGGCCCTTGTGGGCCCAGCTCCAGCTGGGTCACATTTCTCCATGCTCAGGGACAGGGAATAATGATTCCAATATTATTTTCTAAATCACCCCTGATTAGTAAACTTCATTTGAACTAGAAGATCTATAATCACCTGGTAAGAAGCCATACCTTTGGGCTGTCCTGAATGCAGTAACTTTGGGAATGTGCCTTGAAGGGACCCTAGAAGTAAAGCCTTTAGGAGTGTTGTAAGACATAGTGTTTCCCGTGGGACAGCCTGCTTGATATGAGTCTCATCTCCTTGGACCTGAGCTGAGCTAGTTCTTGGGAGGCGAGGAGAGGGTAAAGAGAATAGCTCCTGGACATCTGATTAAACTACTACAAGACCTCTCATTGAAGAAGAATGCCTCACTTTGTGTGTGTGCTGCTGAAGTGAGCATTAGAATGTTCTCACTCTGTCCTGCTGGCATGCAGTGTTTCCTGTCCCATGTCCTTCTACATGAATCTGATGCCAAGTACAACCTACAGTAGTTTTATGAGTCTAAAATTTTAGTATATCCTCAGGAAGACTACCCTAGTGGGTATTACAACACATATTAACAGAATAATTAGGTTTTAAGGTTTTGGCTAGTGATGTTTTGAATAACTGTAGAAAATACCAATGTAGTATTTATTGACTCATCTCTCTGGAGACTGCACTGCCCAAAACTTTGAGAACATAGCCTAATTCGATAACGGTGAGGAGCCTGGAAGGTCATGGGATGGGGTAAAGGAAGAGGAATAGCAGGAACTGTGGTGCAGACAAGATTGTGAAAAGCCTTGAATATTCTATCATGTGGTTTAGATTTTATACTGTAGATAAAGTGAAACCTCAGAAAGTTTTGAAACAGGATAAAATATCAACTCAGTGTTAGAGAAAATTTAGGAACATCTGCAGATTAGTTGTAGGTGATATGTGTAGTTACCTCAACCAAATCATGTGTTCTTAATTTGCACCAGCAACAGCAAATAGGGGCTTGAAAATAATTTCCTGGTTAAGGGTTCATAATGGATAAACATTAATCAGTGCTTACTAAGTGGCAGTCACTGGCTAAGCACTCAGGTAGATACTTCACTATTATCTTCATAAAAATCAAATTGTTGTTAGTTGCTGTCGAGTTGATTCCAACTCATGGTGGCCCCATGTGTGCAGAGAGAACTGCTCCATAGGGTTTTCGAGGCTGTGACTTTTTGGAAGTAGATAGCCAGGCCTGTCTTCTGTGGTGCCTCTGGGTTGGTTCAAACGACCAAACTTTCTGCTAGTATTTGAGTGGCACCCAGGGAATCCAAAACCAAATTAGATGTATACTGTTAGCCCTGTTTTATCTATGAGGAAGCTGAGACTTAGAGGTTAATTTGCCCAGACGAGTAAATGGTAGATTTAAAATTTGAACCCAAACTGATTGACCTCATAGCTTGAGTATTATTCAATATTTTAGAATATGAAAAATCTAGGAAATTAACTTTTTTATTGTGAGTGTATGTGTATTTATGTATGTATATATGCATATATATATAAAATTTTGCCATTTCAACATTGTTTACATGCATAAGTCAGTGACATTAATTACTTTAATCATGTTGTACAATCACCACCATTAACAGCAGCTCGGTCACCCCCAAGAAAATTCATTTTTAATGAGGAAAAGATTGTATGTTTGTGGTTTTAAGATGCATCTGAAGTGTAGATAATTGTGTTATTATTGCAGCTCTCACTTATTATCACGTTACATTTATCTCATTTATTCCTCACAGAGACTTTTTAAAATAGGTATTGTGTTATCCGTTTTAGAGATGAGGAAACCGGGTGGGACCCAGAATAGCTAAGTAACTTGTTCAAAATCAAACAACAAGCAGAGTCAGCATTTAAACCCGGGTCTGTTGCAGTTACAAAAGCCTTGCCCTTTCTATCATGCCAGACTGCTTCCTTTGATGCCCAGACTGTTATAACCCAAACCAAACCCATTGCTGTGGAGTTGATTCCAACTCATAGTGGCCCTTTAGGACAGAGTAGAACTGCCCCATAGGGTTTTCCAGGGAGCGGCTGGTAGATTTGAACTGCTGACCTTTTGGTTAGCAGCCGAGCATGTTATAGTGCTCTATAAATGATTACTGACGCAAATGGATTTCTTAAATTGCTAGGGAATTCATAGACCACTTTATACTTTTTTGTAAAAAAGCAATTTCATTTAAATGGATGAATTCTGTTGTGTAATAAATTGTGGTGGGTGCATGGCGATGCCAAAAGTTTATTTGTAGGTCAGCATTTTAGAAATTCAAACATATTTTCTGATAGAAACAGTGTTGTAAGTGATAGCTCTTACACTCCCTCAGAAAAATCTAGTTAGTGGGTAATAAAACCAAAATCACCAAACCCAAATCAAGAAACCCGTTGTCATTGAGTCGATTCTGACTCATAGCGACCGTGTAGGACAGAGTAGAATTTCCCCATAGGTTTTCCAAAGAGCAGCTGGTGGATTCAAACTCTGACCTTTTTTGGTTATCAGCCGAGCTTTTAACCACTGCACCACCAGGTCTCCATTGTGTGGGTAATACATGTGAAAAAAAAAGAGTCCTAGTAGCACAATAGTTAAGCTCTCAGCTGCAAATAAAAAGATCAGTGGTCCAGACCCACCTGTGATTACACAGGAGAAAAGACCTGGTGATCTGCTCCCATAAAGATTACAGCCTAGGACACCCTATGGGGCAGTTCACTCTGAATTGCAATCGACTCGATGGCACACAACAACAAAATATGTGAAAAGCAGGGCGTTGTTTTATACTCTCTATGCTCTGCCCCCTGGTGGTATTTTTGTGCTGATGGCATGGCAGGGAGACTCTACCTTGCCTTTTGCAGTGTTTCTCAAAGTGTGGCACACAGACAGCCTGCTCAGAATCATCTGGAGTGAATGCTAAAAATGCAGATTCTGAACTCTATCTCAGACCCACTGACTTTCTGTTGATGTGCTTGGAATCTGCATAGTTAACAAGTACCCATGTTCTGTAGACTGTAGTTAGATAACTTACTGCGTTAGGACAGCGTTCTCCCAACTAGGCTGCATACATTGAAAGGGTACAGGGGTAAATGTTAGAACTTTCTTTTCATATTTATTTTATCTCATTTAAAAAACTTTTAATATATTTTACAATGTACATTATAAATCAATACAATAGTACAGCGAAAATGAGAAAGCTGGAACTTGACTGGACTGCCTTGTCTTTCCGGGTCTCACAAGTTTCCACCTTTGACAGGGTGCAGTCACCACTTTTCTGTCACTCTAGTGGAAAATATTTGAGTTTTCCTTCTCTGACAGGTTTCTGTCAAGTTCTGGCTTTCGCAGATTTTACTGTATATAAATATATTTACTAACCAAAATATATGTATATTGGGGGGAATTTGCACAATTTTTTTTAATCTGGTAGGGTACAAAGCAAACTAAAAACAAACCTGGAGAATACAGCTCTGGGGACTTCACTTTCCAATTCCTTTGTATTAGGGAACAAAGGTAAGTTACTGCGTAAATCATCATCTCTCTATTACCTACTCACATGTACGTGGACCGTTTATAAGTTGAACTCTGCTTAAAAGCAGTGCGACTTTGTAACGTTGAAATCATTTTTCAAAGCAATCATATAATCTCTGTAAACTACATAAATGTAAAATATACTCAATTTCAGCTATTTCTCGGGTAAGAATTAACCTAAATCCAATCCTCAAAATGTGAAGATTAATCAAGTTGTCACTTTCGCACTTCTGAATCATCTGATACCAGCTGTCCACGTGACAATCCCTGTCTCTGTCCCAGCCACCTGGAACTAGATCAGAGCTCAGAAGTTAAAAGGACATTGCCCTTCGGATTGCCAAATACATGCCAGCCACACACTTGGGAGTCCACGCAATACCCTTACTTCTGACCTGCTGGCCTCAAATTTTTTCTTCTACTACCCCTTCAGGATGCCAGCTGCAAGCTTGGGGGTCTTCCCTGGGCTCCCTCACTTTCACTTGCTGGCTTGCACTACTCCTTTGGGTTGGATAATTCGCTGGAATGACTTGCAGAAATCACAGGAAGTACAGTAAAACCTTTGAAAGCTGGAACCTGTGTAAGGCAGAAACCTCTCAGAGAAGGAAAACTCAAATATTTTCTACTAAAAGGAGA